AGAAGTATAATTTTAACTTAATATTCATGTTGTTAACATGTAACATCACTTAGTCAGTTATTGTTCAACCTGTTGCTATGTCATTCCTTCTAACTTTTAATATAGAACCATATATATCAGGCCTCGACAAATATTTTCAGATCCATGATCCAGATGTGTCAAACCTAACTTCACTACTGTTTGTATCTGGAAATGGGGACAACAGTATTGTCTGAATTAACTGCCTGTATGAGTCTAAACACGTGCATTGATTGGGTGAATTAAGAGAAAGAAGAAAAATGAAATGGTGCAAAATTAGTAACGTGTTGTGGAAATGTGGGTAACATATGTTTACTTTCACAGCAACAAGTGCATACTAATGATAACATATCAAAAACTACTTGACAGTATTGCATGAACTAACTGCCCATCTGAGTCTAAATTCGTGCACTGATTGATTGAATTGAGAGAAAGAAGAAAAACAAAATGGTGCGAAATTAGTAAGGTGTTGTGCAACTGCAGTGCTTCATTTCTGAAAAAAATATGAAGTGCTGTATATGTCTTAAAAATCATAGAAGCAAAGTTTGACTTGGGATTCAAAGAATGCAAAAATAGTTCTAAACTTTCAAGACTCCAGAACTGTTATAGATTCAAGTTCTATTCAGCACAGCCTTACGCATGAATAAAATGGAAGAAAATACTAGGAGCCACAATGAAATTTTTAGTCGTCATGGTGTCCCGGACTTATTGAGGCCTGAAATATATATATATATAATTTTTTTTTTTCTTTTGCTTGCTTGCACCATGGCAAGTTTGGTGCCTTCCTGTCATTGATGCCTAAGAGTAGAGCAATACATAGGATATATTTCTTCACCTTCTTAGTAATCAACAGAGGATAACTGAAAAGTGGCTCTTGGTCTCCTTGTTTTATTTAACAAATAAGCAAGCATTAGTCAATTCAAATTAGTCATCACTGAAATAGATCAAAAACTGCTGTGAGTTTCTATAATTACAATTTACATTTATGTACAATTTGTTTTCCATTGTCAAATCCTCTATATATCTTGTATAGCAATTTCTGTATACACCACAAGCTCAGGATTCCCATACTTAAACAGTTCTTTCTACCATCACTTTATTAAAATTTAACATATTTTTAATGTCATAAATTATTCCACCTTGCACATCATCATTTAACATTATTTATAATAGTATATGAAGAAAAAAGTAATTTGTCCAACTTATTTTTTTGACCAAATACACATTTTATTGCAGGAGAAAAATTAAATTAGAGAAATGTTTATTTTAAGCCTTTTTTTCATGTAAAGATTATGTATTCCAAAACTTCTGTGTGAGTAAAGGTTAAACAATTGTTTATTCTGTGATAGCTAAGAAATGAATCTTTGAACTATGAACAAGTTGGTTATATTGAAATCAGAGACCCTGTTGCTATTGGACTTGTCCATACTCATTCCATTCAGTGGATTCTAGCCAATCAGTGTAAGTATATCCAGAGATACACAGTCTTCTTTTCACCTCTCACTGTCTGATTGATGAATTGATCCTGGTCCTCCACGTCAACCAGACTCATCTGTTTGGGGCTCCTACAGCTCAGCAGGGAACCTGTAGGTTTATGATATTCACAAATGCCAATTTTTATATCGATTGGGAGTAGCTTTGTGCTTGATTACAACCTAACCTACAAATTAAACTTGTCCACCAATGCCTCTATTCAGGTTGGGTGTAGTTCAGGACACCTGATTCATTTCTGGAGTTTAGTCTCCAGAGGAGCAGTTTCTCTATATGTACATTCTTGAAATTTTGGCTGCTCAGCAGGCTTGTCATCATCTTTCTGTCTTGCCTGTCTCGTATTCATAAGTAAAATTAAGACTAATATCTTAATGCTAGTTCTTTAGTGGTTTTTTTTCTTTCTACACTTCACAATTTTTGTGGCAAGTTTATCTGATCATGTGGTGAAACTGACATGTATGTTTTTTAACAACTTTATTGTTTAAAAACTTCCCTTTTTTTTTTCAGTTTATAGAAGATGAATGTTTCATGATGCTGGTTAGTAATCTCTGTGGGCCAGATGTTGATATTAGCATAATTTTGTATTTTTGTGCATATGTTTTAAAAAATTTTTGCAGATACTCCTTTTGTTCATAATTTTCAAATCATCATATACTAATTGTGATTACTGCAGGTACTTTTAAGCTTATTGAATAAAGAGTATGTAACTTATGAATACATATTTTGTTGTTGGTAGAAGTCCTACTAGAATAAACTCTTTAAGATCCATCTGGCATCATTGCCAAGTGACTTAACACATTTATCACAGTATTCTGCAAGGTAACATTCTTATTTGAGATTTAAGATACATTAAAAGTTTAGCACCTCGGATTTCCTAGTGGCAGTTTAATGGGCCCAATCCAAACACAGCACCGTAAAGAGTTTTTCAGTTCCTGAAAATTTTGTTAGGTTAGAAGCATTTGTCATTGAACCAGTCTAGTATACATGTCTTATTATTAGTAGATGAATGTAATCTATGATAATGTATGCATTTGGTAATTATTGAGTATTATTATTAGTGGATGAATGTCATCAGTGATAATGTATGCATTTGGTAATTATTGAGTTTTATTATTAGTGGATGAATGTCATCAGTGATAATGTATGCATTTGGTAATTATTGAGTTTTATTATTAGTGGATGAATGTCATCAGTGATAATGTATGCATTTGGTAATTATTGAGTTTTATTA